TAGTCGTAATAAGTGGTGTTTCTGTTCCACGCTTTTGGTGAACCGTTATATTCTGTTTTGTTTCTCTCCTCAACTGTTCTGTTCTGCATTTGTCAAATTTGAAAAATATTTGGAAACGTGATATTATTATAAAAAATTGTTACAGTTGTATCAAGTGATGTTTCTGTTCCACATTACTCATGCATCACTGCCCCTCGTTCGATTTTGTTTCAGTCTTTTAAATTCTTTATTGGAATAAAAAGTTCCATCCTGCCAATTGTTTTGTTCGCCACGCATTCGTCTCTAATACATTACTCCCAATACATTAAGAAGTAGGATGAGTACTGGAGCTGGAAAGTCAGCCGTAGCCGAAATTCAATAAATGTGAATTGGAGCCAAACATTAGGAAATTAAGATCTAGAGCTGGATTTGGGACGCAATTTCAAAAAAAAAGTAGAATTGGAGCCGGAGCTGGGCCGAGCTGAAATTGTGAAAAATGTGGAGCTGAAACCAGAAATCTGTAAAATGTGGGGTGAAATTTTCACAGCTGCAGAGTCGTGCCAGAGCTGAGTTATAAATTTTTTCAAATCTGTGATCCACCGTTCCGTTCTCGAATCCCTTGAAATATCCATCAGTTTTTATTCATCATCTTTTGCGTTTGAATCGAACAGTTTCAGCCGTTCTAAAACGATTGCGTCAAAAAGGATACATTTATGAAGCGTCATTATTCGATTAAATCTAATAATGAAAACTTTTGACAGCTTCACTTTTTACATAGCTTTCAGCAATATTTCTTCATATAAACGAGACTTTATTAAAGTCATCCCCAAAATTTCAATATAATATTCAGTTGGGTGAAACATTCATCACCCAAATGTGACGCACAATGCATTTGAATCCGCATTGTTTAGATTTATTTGTTGATCGCACGGTGAGTTTGGTGAATGTTCAATTGAAAGGGATTAAGAGAGGATCACACCTGGTAGGTGAGGCTGCCAGATCCTCGGATAAAATATGCTTTAAAAAATGTCGAATTAGTATTACGATTACAATGACTTCAACATTAAGTTTTCTTCTGACTTCTGCGTCTACCAGTTTCATAAACAGCAGCGATTCACTTGTGGGTGGCATGAGTGAATTGTAGCAGGATAGGAAGTGATGAACATTTCAGTGGAGAACTAAAATACTAAGCCGACGAATGATGTTCTTCTCGTGGTTGTCTTCAACTATTCTAGTTCAGTTGTGTGCAATATCCGCAATAAGCGTGTTGCTGACTTTATGTGAAAAAAGCCGCACTGAACGCACTGAACACGTGAGTTCATTCACGAAACTGTATTGCTCAAAAATTGTTACTAGGACAGCTTGGTCTGGTTACGATTATTTGTTCTTCAAGACATTCGTATGCTGCTTGGTTTGGCTTGCAAATGGGATGAGTTCATTGTTCACAGCATTCTTTGAATCACACCACAATAATTTAAGATAAGTGAACGGAAGAGAAAACCAAGAAAATATAAACCAAGGACAAGTGAGGAAAGAGAAGCGATTCAACGAATCATTGACGGTTTGCATACGTGTTTGGCTAAACGATGACTATTAAATCAGATATGAATCTTTGTACAGCTTCACAGCACCATTCTGGACACAACAAAATTCATTCGTATTCGTTTTTTGGACTTATTGTTTGGTGGAAAAATTGCGATGATTGTAGACGTAGTAGATGATGAAGCTAGACCAAAAATAAAATAAAATAAACGCACTGAAAAGAGTATCTGATTTTGAGGTTCCGTATGTGAAGATAAGGGAAACGAAACAACAGAAGATGCAAAAAGCAATTGGGGCGCCATTCAGCGTTTAGAAATAGGTAATCTTATACGTCTTCTAAACTATTTTGAGCATAAATTCCATGAATACATCAGATTTGTTTTGTATTCGTTAATTAATTTGGATTGTATTTTCAGTAGAAACTGCTGATGATGAGTGAAAATCGACCAAATAATTAAAGCGATCGAATGATTTGATAATAAATATTTTCCTTATTCAGCTTTGCGTTCATTGCTTGAAAATTTTAATGATTAGAACATTAACGAATAAACAACATTCATCATCAAATTGTGTTTCACGTAGTTTCAGTGCAGCAAACCAAATACTCTGTCGTTTTGATATTGCAAGGACATGCGTTTATTTGCCTCTGAAATCGCCATCTTATTATTAGTGAACATGCAAAAGTGCCTCTTTTGAAACATCCGACTTGTAGTGTTTCAGGCCGGTGAAAAACCAACCATTCCCTAAAACATTTCAGCCAGAAATATTGCAGCTGGAGGACGACACGGAACGCTTGAACCTTTCACTATAACATTAAATCGAATTTTCGTGCATATCGCTCAAGGTTCCAGTTTTTTGTTTCGTGTGAACGTCATGCAGAATTTCGTAATGGCCGAAACACGTCCCGAGCCGCCCGAACTTCTCACAATCAGTATGATTATAGTAAATGCTAATTTTCGTCAAGCGCCCCACGCTGTTGCTCGTTTTTGTGAACTTTTCTGTTCGATTTTTGGTGCATAAGGCAGAAACGCTTGAGGTTTGTTAAATAACAATCCTTCTAAAAAATAAGCATATAATTCGCATCCGCTAATTCATTACTACGCATTTGGAGTCACACCTCAAGAAATTCCTGATAGTATTAACATTTGAAGAAGCTGAGCACCTGCTAACCAAAAAACAGTAAACGTTGAATTCCTCCAACATTGGTGAGAAATTATATTGTTTACTGGACTGCTTGAATGGATTGTTGCGAGGCCACAAGAGTAAATAAGCTGATATTAGTGGCGGTCTTCTCACTCGAAAAGGCTCTCAAACTTCCGTTCGCTTAAAATGAGAATTTTTCAGTTGAGGAGATGTAAACCGGTACGTGCAACAAACCGTCATCATCTGCTTAAATTCACTGTAAGAGATGCTTTAAGTTCATTGGCAATGTTACACATGATCAGAGAGGAATCTTCCAATTGTGTTGAGATCATCCAGCAGATTCTCCGTTCACAATATATGAGGAATTCCCGTCGTTTCCAAGATGTGACGTGAAATATTCACCTTCCGTCAACATATATGGACAGTAAAATTGATTTGAAATAGTTTTCTGTGTATTTATTACTAGTATAGAATAATATTTTGTTGTGATTCATATGTCACTAAAGGATATTTTGAAGTATCTATACTATATCGCCACTATACTATACCACTACGAACTAAACAAAGGATTCTGAAGCAATTCCACTGAAAACGAAATATTTGTTTGTTCAGTTCATATTCTTATTACCAATTTTTTCATTAGAGCTCAATTAATTTTAATTATTTGATTATTTACATACATTATTTGTTCTAATTATTACTAATTTTCGTCAGGTTGGTGTATTGGCTTATTTAAGAGGTAGAACTGAGCTTTCTCCCGAAGAGTTGCTCTTATCAGTTTGTATTTCGAGTCGCTTTCTCGTCATTTTCGTATGCTTTTGAAATGAGACACAAATTTTATGATTAAGTATCACAGATTTCGCATCCAGCAATTTTGCCTTTTGGCGACGTTCCTCATTGAATGGACTGAAAATAAAGCTAATCATGCCTTTGGCAATGCAAATTTAGTATGGTGAGATGGTTGATGTATTTTCGTTTCTATTCGTTGTTGATGTATCTCTGAGCGTGTCGGATACGTTTCTTTGTAACATGATCTAATGTATTTCTATTTCCAACTACTGAAAATGTTTCAGCTGCTCGACGGTCTTTGCGGCAGGAAAATCGGGCCGATGCGAGAGATGAAGGTGGTCACAGGAACTCGACAACAGACAATCGACATACGTTGCACAGGCCAGTTATTTTGTTAGCTCACTTTTTCTTGTTGTTTATTGTTGACCCTTAGTTCTAGGAAATAGGCACAAACGGTCACAGAATGATTCTTACAAGTTTTTGATCCATTGTTAGTCGGGTCAAAGGCACAGGCACTGTATTTTCTAGTCCTCATTAATGCACAAAAACATTTTTGACGTATGAACTAGCTTCTGCGTTGGACGAAGTGAAGTTACCAAATGTAGATTTTACATACAGTCAGAAATATGCCTTAGTTTCGCATTTCGAACATCTTGATCAGACCTTGTGATAATTTTGTTCAGTAATTGCCTCAGGATCAGCTGTTGTATTTGATCTATTGCAGATTTGCTCGACGTGTTGAATAATAGTTGTAGGAGTGTGATGGTTCACTCTCAAGTCAGAGTATTAACAATCAATTATCAATAATAATGGACGATTTTTTTCCACTACGACTGTGCAGTTGTTTTCGACTTAAATTTATGACATTTCCTCATTAGCAAAAACCTCTCAACGAACAGCTGTGCTCATTAGAGGAGTATAATAACTAAACATCTCAGTTTCATCGACCTATTTAAGCATCACCAGCAATTTTCTGGATCCTCTTTAGCACTGTTCAGTGAAGCCCATAGAATCTATGCGGATTTCAGTTTGAAGTTATATGACTGAATAGACCCAACTGGGAAACATACTTTTATGCGTTAATGCAACAATTTGCAACTTTTTAAAACGTTTTGCAAACCTGCAAATTTGTCAGTGCTTTAAACTAGTTGCGCTATAAAAGTGAATGAATATAAGATGTCCTGTCACGGTGTGATTCTTTCTCGCCCCGTTCTCAAATGAATAATGATCAAGAGTGATCAGTTAATGAATTTGAATTGAATGCACAATGTAAAGCAATCATTTGCTCATGTTCTTAAAAAGTATCGACAATGGTGAATTGTGTTTAGGTTGTTGGAAGACGCCGCGATTACGTCAAGCTGCTTTCCGACTAAACTACTCAAGTGTGCATGTTTAGGATGTTTTGGCGATGCGTTTTAGTGGTATTGACATTCACGAGTACAACGTCAGCTCTGCTCGGCTCCATGAAGAACGTCACCGTCAGAGGGCACCTGGTGTGCGGTACACGAAATTATGCGCACGGAAAGGTTGAATTGTGGGAGGATGATCCGTGT